GAGATGAGAAAGCACAGCACATTTGATACTTGGCTGGCCAACTGTTATTTCTCTTAATAAAGGAGGGTAAACCTGCAAGGAAAACCAGAGAATGACCTCAAAGTAATTCATTCATTCATTTATTCAGTTACTGTTGGGCACTGTAGACTATATTGCTATATTTCTGGACTGTATGCTATATTTCTAGACTGTATACTGTATTTCTAGGAAGATACTGGAATTTTTAAATTAAGTCACAGACATGTCACACATGTTAACATACCACATAATTAGGAAGCAGAAGAGCCTTAAAATCTTAATCTGCCCTCTAGTTTATTTTGCTGTTGAAACAGTGCCTTCTAAATTGTAAAATTTCTTTCTCCTTTTTTTCCCCCTGATCATTTCTCTCATCATGCTACCCAATGTCAAGCTGTGTGGAGATTTTAGAACTGAAGACTGCCTAAACTGTTCCCTTTTCAACTATGCTTAGATCCTATTTGCTTCCTTAAGATTTGTAAAAGGATAAGTATGTTTCTCTGTATCCCCTAAAAGACCTTATCTTTTAGAGGATAAATGTACCAAAAGTACTAAAACAGATCCTTTCAAGGATGTGTCTGGAGAGATAGAAGCATACCAAGCTGCTGTGTAGTGTACAGGACAACACAAGACTATGACCCATAAATCAACATATAAAACTTAGGAGGTAGAGAATAACTTTGTGACTTTGAAGGGGTGACATTCATAGATACATTTATCATTCAGTGAGATAAATTTTTATTTTTTTCAACCTTAGAATCTAAAGAGACAAGCTTCAACACTCATTTCAAATGCTTTATCTTACTAGAAGAATTTCCCTGAGGTCAGCTGGAAGTATCATTCCCTCCCATGAACTACCTCAGTATTGTATCTTTTTATCTTCTTAGAAGACATTTGGTAATTCCTTCCTTTTTATTATAAGCCATTTATATGCATGTCTTATCTCTTTTATTAAATTGCACCTTCTTTGAAACAGAATTCATGTTTGATCCACAGCACTAAGCCTTGTACATATGAAGCACTGGGTTAATATTTAATGAATTAAAGCATAGCGTATATATTATAAACTGAATTATTAGAGCAGTTTTTTTCAGACAGAATTTTGCTCTTTGGCTGGGCTCAATGGCTCATGCCTGTAATCCCAGCATTTTGGAAGGCCGAGGCAGATAGATAACAAGGTCAAGAGATAGAGACCATCCTGGTCAACATGGTAAAACCTCATCTCTGCTAAAATACAAAAATAGAGCAGTGTTTCTTTTATTTATTTATTTATTTTGGCTCCCCATTGGGGAACAGAACCCTGGTCTCCCTCGTGACAAGTGGGGATACTCACCACTATACAAACAAGGAGAGCAGTGTTTCTTAAGTGTTGAACATGAATTACCTACATCAGAATTACCTGGAGTGTTTTGTTATGCAAATTCAAATTCCTGTGCTTCTGCCCACACCTGCTAAACGAGAATTTCACTGGGTTCAGGGAATCTGTTTTGAATAAAAATTGTAGGTAATTGGCCCAGTGCAGTGGCTCACACCTGTAATCCCAGCACTTTGGGTGGCTGAGGTGGGCAGATCACCTGAGGTCAGGCATTTGAGACCAGCCTGGCCAACATGGTGAAACTCCATTTCTACTAAAAAATACAAAAGTTAACTGGGTGTGGTGGTGCATGTCTCTAATCCCAGCTACTCAGGAGGCTGAGGCAGGAGAATTGCTTGAACCTGGGAGGCGAAGGTTGCAGTGCACTGAGATCTCGCCATTGCACTGCAGCCTGGGTGACAAGAGCGAAACTCCGCCCCCCCGCCCCAACCAAAAAAAAATGTAGGTAATTATGGTGCACACTAAAGTTTGAGAACCACTGCACTGGGGACAATGTAAGAATCCAAATTTAAGTTACATTTACATGAAAGGACAGATGTATATCTTGATAAAAATTATAAACATTTAGTACATGGTAGAGTATAAAATATAAGAAAAAGTGGGCCGGGCGCGGTGGCTCACACCTATAATCCCTGCACTTTGGGAGGCCGAGGCGGGTGGATCATGAGGTCAAGAGATCTAGACCATCCTGGTCAACATGGTGAAACCCCGTCTCTACTAAAAATGCAAAAAATTAGCTGGGCATGGTGGCGCACGCCTGTAGTCCCAGCTACTTGGGAGGCTGAGGCTGGAGAATTGCTTGAACCCAGGAGGCGGAGGTTGCAGTGAGTGGAGATCACGCCATTGCACTCCAGCCTGGGTAACAAGAGTGAAGCTCTGTCTCAAAAAATAAATAAATAAGAAAAACTGAATATATATGTTCAATGCAAATTTTTCTATATCACAGTAAGGACCAATCAACATTTTGGAAAGTTCAATCTAAAAAAGCATATTTAGATGTAAATAATTTTAAATATTCACCATTTTCTGTGAATGCATTTGAAGTAAAGCACCATGATTTTATAATTAAAGACTAAGAAAAGACATATTGGACATCTTATCTGCACATTCTTATATTGCTATATGCAAAGATTGCCTTTTATGGCGTGCTTCTTTATAAAATAGTTTGTAACTAATAGTACTGTCAGAAATATCGTGGTTTAGATAATGTTTAATGTATTTTGCTCCTTGTTTTTCTGTAACAACACATTATATTGTTAGATTTACTTGTAGATTTTCTTATTTGTGAATGTTTTATTTGTAATTTTTTTAAAATGTGAAATTGTTAGGACGCCAGTTATCTTGGCATATGCATTCCTGAATTGATAAGGACTAAGACAAGCTATGGCAAGCAAGTAATATAAATCTTCATCTAGGTAGTTCTTTGTTTTGTTTTGTTTTTGAGACGGAGTCTTGCTCTGTCACCAGCCTGGAGTGTAGTGATGCAATCTCGGCTCACTGCAATCTCTGCCCCCCGGGTTCAAGTGATTCTCCTGCCTCATCCCCCCGAGTACCTGGGACTACAGGTGCATGTCACCACGCCTAGCTAATCCTTTTTTTTTTTTTTTTTTTTTTTTTTTTTTAATTTTTTTTTTTTTTTTTTTTTTTTTTTTTTTTTTTTTTTTTTTACTTTTTAAATTATTTAATTATTTATTTATTTTTAATCTTTGTTTTTTTAGTAGAGACGGGGTTTCACCATGTTGGCCAGGATGGTCTGGATCTCTTGCCCTTGTGATCCGCCTGCCTCAGCCTCCCAAAGTGCTGAGATTACAGGCGTGAGCCACCGCACCAGGTAGTTCTTTAACTGTAATGTGATAAAATAATTTTGTAAGCCTAAACTGTCTTTATAATGGTAATACAAATGAGAAATGTTTAAATAATGCTTGTAATGTAGAGCACTGGTCCAACTATTTTACATACATTAACTCATTTAATCTTCATGAGAACTAAATAAGATAGGCACTGTTATTACCCTTATATTTCAAGTAAGGAAATTGAGGTGCAGATTAAGCTATCTAAGTTTACATAGCTGATAAGTAGCTAGGACAATCTGGCTTTAGAGTCAGCATTCTGAACCACTCTATAATAATGTTATTGTTGTATTTTTAATTAGCAATTTGTTTGACTTTGTCATAATCATTTTCAGATCTTCCAGCAGTTACATGGCAGATATTTTCAAGTAAGTATTTTTTAAAAATTCAGCCTATATCTAAACAATATCTTTTAAAAATTGTTTTTAATGCTATTCTTTTATTGATTATATCTAGTAACATTGAGATTTCTTAAAAATAGTTGGATTTCAGAGGATCGTTTTAGCATGCCATTTTTTGGTGTTTGTGATGGTAGTAGATGGTTATTTAACTTAGAAAAAGAAAAAAAAAAGGCGAGACATATGGTGACTCACACACTTTGGGAGGCTGAGGCTGTGAGGATCGCTTGAGCCCAGGAGTTGAGACCAGACTGGGCAGCATAGTGAAACCCTGCCTTTACAAAAATGTTTTAAAAATTAGCCAGACATGGTGCTGCACCCTTGTAGTCCCAGCTACTTAGGAGGCTGACATAGAAGGATCTCTTGAGCCCAGCAGTTTGAAGTTGCAGTGAGCCACTGCACTCCAGCCTGGATGACAGGGACACCCTGTCTCCAAAAAAAAGGAGGGGAGAGGGATATTTATATCTTTAGCATTGATCGACTCAAATGAAAGTCTAGTAATTTTGATTTTCAAAAGCTATTAGGACACATAACGAATTCTTATGACAAAACCTAGATAAATTTGCATACCAATTTTGAAAAATTATATATAAAAGATGTTTAGTAATGTATATTTCTTTCTGATGAAAGGTACTAGTTTTTCTCTACAAAAATGCATTTTTAACGTCTCTGTGGTACACAAGAATAAAATATTAGTCCTTGATCTGTGTCATCTTAAATTCACCAAATAGGTCATTTTAGGTGTCATTTGTTGCTTTATTTTAATAAATACTGAAAAAGAAGGGCCACTATGTAGAAATACCTAACCTATGAACTAATGAATATTGGACTATGTTTTAATATATAAATTACATTTAAAAATTAATCTGTTTCTTCAAAACATGAACTTGTCAAAGTGGTTTAATTGAATTCTATCAGTCTGTTATATATAATCAGGACAGCTCAGAAGAAAAGAACTAAATTAGAAACCTAGAATGGAAAACAAGGGAGAGTTTAACCCTTAGAATAAAGGGTTACTGGTCAGGCGTGGTGGCTCACGCCTGTAATCCCAGTACTTTGGGAGGCCAAGGTGGGCAGATCACGAGGTCAGGAGATGGAGACCATCCTGGCCTATATGGTGAAACCCCGTCTCTACTAAAAATACAAAAAAATTAGCTGAGCGTGGTGGCGTGCACCTATAGTCACAGCTAGTCAGGAGGCTGAGGCAGGAGAATTGCTTGAACCTGGGAGGTGGAGTTTGCAGTGAGCCAAGATCATGCCACTGCACTACAGCCTGGTGACAGACTGAGACTCCATCTGAAGTAAATTAAGAATAAAGGGTTAGAAAAAGAGGAGGTGGGCTATAGGAATTTTTTTTTCTTTTTTTAACCAGTTGTTAAATGATCCTTTATTGAAATATTTTCCTTTGTGCCTCTTAACTAGCTGGGCATTGAACAGCACCACTGTTGATGTCATCTATGATGTCATGAGGGTGATGGCTGTTAACATTACAGCTCACAGACTGGGCAGTCCCCAGGATCTCTTTAATGGTTCCAGAGAGTTCTCTGGCTAAAGATCAGTGAGCAATCTCATCGAAAGTGGTATTCCCACTGTGTTTAATGTTTTTCTGTTTCTTTCTATCTTTGGTGGTTCCTTGAGGGCTTTGATAATCAGGGCAGAGGCAGAAGGCACCACCTCAATCTGGGCCTGTCTGTTCTGAATGGTAAGTTTCACTGTAATCCTCAGGCCCTTCCAGTCACCCATTGCCTTGGCAATGTCATCACCAACCTTTTTTGGAGACAGACCCCTGATCTTGGGGACCAGCGCAGAAGTGGCAACGACTCCCCCCACCGCCCGCCGTGCACCTCAGGTATATGACTTTGATCTCGTTGGGGTCGAACTTCGGCGGCATGGCGGAGGCAGCTGGTGTCAGATGAACCTGGATTTGGGACGATCAAAGAAAGTTGCACCTTGGCCTCCTCCAAGCCGAAAGCCAAAAGCAGGAATCTTTAATAAGAAGATTATAGGGCTGGTACAGTGGTTTATGCCTGTAATCCCAACACCTTGTAGGTTGAAGCAGTAAGATTGCTTGATCCCTGGAGCTTGAGACCAGCCTGGGCAACATAGCAAGACCCTGGCTTTACAAAAAAAAAATTAGCCGGGCTTATTAGTACCTGCCTGTAGTCCTAGCTGTTTGGCAGGCTGAGGCAGGAGGATCCCTTAAGCTCAGAACTTGGAGGCTGCAGTGAACAACGATTACACCATTGAACCTCAGCTTGGGTGACAGAGTGATACCCTGTCCCCCACCTCAAAAAAATCATAGGTATGCCCAAACATGTTGCTCTTAATAGCATAATTAAACCAGGCGTGGTGGCTCTCGCCTATAATCCCAGCACTTTGGGAGGCCAAGGAGGGTAGATCACAAGGTCAGAAGTTTGAGACCAGCCTGGCCAATATGGGGAAACCCTGTCACTACTAAAAATACAAAAATTAGCCAGGCGCGGTGGCAGGTACCTGTAATCCCAGCTACATGGGATGTTGAGGCAGGAGAATCACTTGAACCCAGGAGGCAGAGAGGTTGCAGAGAGCTGAGATCGAACCACTGCACTCTAGCCTGGTGACAGAGTGAGACTTCGTCTCAAAAAAAAAAAAAAAAAAAGCGAAATTAAGATATTTTTATCTTCCAATGCAAATTCGTAATCTAGTAAATTGAAAAGCAGTATGAACATTGAATTATCTGTGGAACTCAAAGGAAAAGGATCACTGTAATTTTATATTTTACATGAGAAAAGATTTCTTGAATTTTTTTGCTTTGATCTATGTTTTGTCATTTCATCGAGAGTAGAAAAAAAATGAATCACTTTTTATAAACAATATTTTTCTTTTCTAAACTTGACACCAGTATGAAACTTACCCAAGTTGTTTAAATTTATTTGTTTTTTGAGATGGAGTCACCCAGCTCTGTCACCCAGGCTGGAATGCAGTGACATGTTCTCGGCTCATTGCCGAGAGGTTCCTAGGTTCAAGTGATTCTCCTGCCTCAGCCTCCCGTGTAGCTCGGACTACAGGTGCATTCCACTATGCCCAGCTAATTTTTTTGTATTTTTTAGTAGAGATGGGGTTTCACCGTGTTAGCCAGGATGATCTCGATCTTCTGACCTCGTGATCCACCAGTCTCAGCCTCCCAAAGTGCTGAGATTACAGTCATGAGCCACCACACCCTGCCAGTGTTTAGGTATTAAAAATATAAATTGAAGATTTGATTTTTTTTCTTATTTTTTTTTAAGGGAGGGGGTCGTTGCTTTTAGGGAAGTTACGCTTATTTTTTTTTTTTTTTTATTTTTTTTTTTTTTTTTTTTTTTTGTAGAGATGGGGTTTCACCATGTTGCCCAAGCTGATCTCAAACTTCTGGGCTCAAGCAATCTGCCTGCCTGAGCTTCCTAGAGCTGAAATTACAGCTCTGACTCTCAGGCTGAGATTACAGGCCTGAGCCACAGCGCCTGGCCATAATTTATGTTTTAAATAGCATTTTGTTCTGATTAGATAGAAGCCACATGCTCATTATAAGAGTTTTTGAAACTATGGGGAAAAAGAAGAAAAATTACTTGTATTTTGCCACTACAAATAGCCATCATTTAGGAATAGTTTTCTCTATTTCTTTTTCTATGCAAATATAACTAAATTGAAATGATACATATATGTACATATAGTATTATGCCCTGCTTTTTTCCTTTAACACTTTAAAATAAGCACTTTTGTAAATCATTAGCCGTTTCTTGAAAACATAATGTTGAAATGTTGTTAGTGTGATTTTGCTCAAAATTCACAGTAGGAGGTATATTTTATTTTATGATTAAGGCCACACATGCGTATTTAATTGTATAAAAACATAAATTGTAAAACAGTATTAAGGGTAATGCATTTTGATTTTTTTTTTGAGTCAAAGTTTCGCTCTCGTTGCCCAAGCTGGAGTGCGATGGCCAGTCTCAGCTCGCTGCAACCTCTGCCTCCTGGGTTCAAGTGATTCTCCTGCCTCAGCCTCCTGAGTAGCTGGGATTGTAGACATGCGCCACCATGCCTGGTTAATTTTTTTGTATTTTTAGTAGATATGGGGTTTCACCATGTTTGCCAGGCTGGTCTCGAACTCCTGACCTCAGGTGATCCACCCACCTCAGCTTCCCAAAGTGCTGGGATTATAGGCGTGAACCACCATGCCCATCCTGCATTCTGATATTATATGTTGTATTTTATTTTTAAAAATACGCTTGTTGCATCCCTTTGAATTGATTTTGCATTTCACTAATGGGTTGCAAGTTGGAAAAATGTCTCCTGTATGAATATTCTATAATCCAATTATGACCCTTTTATTGGTCAAATTTGGTTCAGAATTTTGCCAGTAGATTAATTTAAAAGTGTTTGTGAGTGTATTTACCAAAGTAATTAACGCTGGCTGTAATAAATTATTGCCAAAGTGTTAAAACATAAGTCTTCCGGCCAGGTGCGGTGGCTCACGCCTGTAATCCCAGCACTTTGGGAGGCTGAGGCGGGCCGATCACAAGGTCAAGAGTCGAGACCCTCTTGGCCAACATGGTGAAACCCCGTCTCTACTAAAAAAATACAAAAATTAGGAGCCGGGCGCGGTGGCTCAAGCCTGTAATCCCAGCACTTTGGGAGGCCGAGGCGGGCCGATCACAAAGTCAAGAGTCGAGACCATCCTGGTCAACATGGTGAAACCCCGTCTCTACTAAAAATAGAAAAAATTAGCTGGGCATGGTGGCATGTACCTGTAATCCCAGCTACTCAGGAGGCTGAGGCAGGAGAATTGCCTGAACCCAGGAGGCGGAGGTTGCGGTGAGCCGAGATCGCGCCATTGCACTCCAGCCTGGGTAACAAGAGCAAAACTCCGTCTCAAAAAAAAAAAAATACAAAAATTAGCAGGGCGTGGTGGTGCGTGCCTGTAGTCCCAGCTACTCAGGAGGCTGAGGCAGGAGAATTGCCTGAACCCAGGAGGCGGAGGTTGCGGTGAGCCGAGATCGCGCCATTGCACTCCAGCCTGGGTAACAAGAGCAAAACTCCGTCTCAAAAAAAAAAAAATACAAAAATTAGCAGGGCGTGGTGGTGCGTGCCTGTAGTCCCAGCTACTCAGGAGGCTGAGACAGAGGAATTGCTTGAACCTGGGAGACGGAGGTTGCAGTTAGCCGAGACTGCGCCACTGCACTCCAGTCTAGCGACAGAGCGAGACTCTGTCTAAAAAAACAAAAACAAAAACCGTAAGTCTTCCTTATCAGTTTGTTGTATACTTTTTACAGATTTTTGTATGTGTTCATTTACTCTCTCTGTCAATATCTATTTTTACATACTTTTTTCCCTTTGAGGCAGAAGAATTGCTTTACTACACCTTTAAGTTTTTTTAAAGTGTATCATGACTATCTTTTCACATCAGCATATAAAGATTTACCCTGTTCTTTTGTCTGCTGCATAGTACTCCATTACAGGTGGATCATAATTTAACTTTTTCATTATTAATGAAGATTGTGTTGCTTCCAATTTTTTGTATTACAAAGAATGCTGCAGTGGCCATTCATATACATAGATCTTTGTGCATACCTGCATATATTTTTGTAGAATAAAGTTTCCTGGAATTGAGGCTGTTGAAATATAGGGTATACACGCTTAAAATTGTTTTTTTTTAAATTCTTCAGCTTATCCTTTACTACATTTATATCAGTCAACTCCAACTCCAATAGTATATATAAGAAAGAGGCTGGATGCCATGGCTCACACCTGTAATCCCAGCACTTTGGCAGGTAGATTGCTTGAGCCCAGGAATTAGAGACGAGCCTGTACAACATGGTGAAACCCTGTTTCCACGAAAATTAGCCAGGCATGGTGGCACACAGCTATGGTCCTAACTACTCAGGAGGCTGAGTTGGGAGGATCACCTGAGCCGGGGTGGTCAAGCAGTAGATATTTTCAATTTTAATTTTTGCCAATCTGATGAGTGAAAAAAATGCATTTGATTTGAATGAATTGGTTTGGCATCTTTTCATATGCTTATTGGTGTTTTATAGTTCTGTGAATTGCTTGTTTATATCTTTTATGAACTTTTGAATTTTTATTATTGATTTATAGGAAATCTTTAGTATTATGGATATTAGCCACTTGAGTATTATGTGTTACAAATGGCTTCTCATAGTCTATGAAATGTCTTAAAACTACAAGAGAATCTTTTTCTATATAGAAATTAAAATTTTTGTACTTGGTCACATTGATTAATTTTTTTCTTTATGGCTTCTGGGATTTGTATAATGTTTAAAGGATCTAACTGACCTTGTCCACCTATTGTCTTCTATGTTCCTCTAGATATTTATAGCTTTTTATGTTTATTGGGAATTTTTATATTGGATACCACCACATATAAATAGTTCTTTTTTTTAAAATTTTTTTATTGTTATTATTTTTAAGACGAGGTTTCACCTTGTTGGTCAGGCTAGTCTTGAACTCCCAACCTCAGGTGATCCACCTGCCTTGGCCTCCAAAGTGCTTGGATTACAGGTGTGAGCCACCACACCTGACCCATATAAATAGTTCAAATTGATATATCTAATTATTACTTCTGATAAGTAACTAATTCTTTTAATTAGGAAGATTGGCAAGTTTGTGAAAGGAATTCTAATTTTGTCAAAATGCTTAAATTAAAAGCTGGGAATCTATAATGGTAAATATAGTTGGCTAAGGCATGAATATAAGATTTATAAATGGTTGGTATAATGGTAGATCTTTTTTGGATAGGAAAATGCTTAAACAAAAATGCAGATTTCTTTTTTTTTTTTTTTTTGAAACAGAGTCTTACTCTGTCACCCAGACTGGAAGGCAGTGTTGTGATCTCAGCTCACTGCAACCTCCACCTCCTCGGTTCAAGAGATTCTCCTGCCTCAGCCTTCCAAGTAGTTGGGGATTATAGGCGTCTGCCACCATACCAGGTGAATTTTTGCATTTTTAGTAGAGATGGGATTTCGCCATGTTGGCCAGGCTGGTCTCAAACTCCTGACCTCAGATGATCCACCTGCGTTGGCATCTCAAAGTGCTGGCCTCCCAAAGTGTTGGGCCACCTCACCTGGCTCAAAAGTGCACGTTTCTAAGCAATCTCTAGGGCCAACCAAATTCATTTGAAATTAACTTTGGATGTTTCACAAATTCTTGCCTTGGTGACATTTTCTGTGTTAGAATGTAAGGGAAGAAATATATTTATATAAGAAATCTGGAGGGATATACACCAAATTATTAACAGTGATTTTCTTGGGGCCTGGCATGGCTGACACCTGTAATATCAGCACTTTGGGAGGTTTAGGCGGGTGGTACACCTGCTATCAGGAGTTTGAGACCAGCCTGGCCAACTTAGTGAAACCCTGTCTCTACTAAAAATACAAAAATTAGCCGGATGTGGTGGCGTGCACCTGAATCCCAGGTACTCAGGAGTCTGAGGCAGGAGAATCACTTGAACCTGGGAGGTGGAGGTTGCAGTGAGCTGAGATCACACCTCTACACTCCATCCTGGGCAACAGACCAAGACTGTCTCAAACGAAACCAAACAAAAGAAAACAAAACAAAACTAGTTTTAAAAAACACAGTGATTTTCTTGGGATGGTAAGATTTCAGATTTTTTTTTTTTTTAAATTTAAGACAGAGTTTCACTCTTGTTGCCCAGGCTGAAGTGCAGTGGTGTGATCTAGGCTCACTGCAACCTCCATCTCCCAGGTTCAAGTGATTCTCCTGCCTCAGCCTCCCAAGTAGTTGGGATTACAGGTGCATACCACTACGCCTGGCTAATTTTGTATTTTTGCTAGAGGTCTTGAACTCCCGACCTCAGGTGATCCGTCTGCTCAGCCTCCCAAAGTGCTGGGATTACAGGTGTGGGCCAGTGCAACCTGGCAGATTTCAGATTTTTTTTTAAAACCTTTTTACTTATTTTTTAAGTTTTTTTTTTAATCTTTTTTTCCTTTTTTCTCTCTTTTTTCTAAGTTTTTTTTTTTCCAACAAAAAAATGTTATTTGTTTAGTAAATATAGGACAGATAAAGGATTAAATGAAGAATAGTGCTGCTCTGGATCTATTTATAGCCAATGAGGAAGAATTGGTGGGTAGGAACAATAGAAACCTCTGGAGACAAAGTGACCATTTTATAAAAGTTTGTGATAGCTAGGATGAGAATTCTAGAAGTAGCAACATACATATATTGTCTAGATGGTAGGAAGAAGGCTTTAAAAAATTGAACAAAAAATAAGTAGTCATGACCTCATGAGCTAAGACTGGGAAAGTTGGGAAACGTTAAAACATAATTGTATAATTACACAGTTATAAATTATAGCAATGAGTTTTTTAAAAAAGGCAAACGTTACATGCAGAACAGGCCAGGAGTTACAAAAAGAAAAAACAAAGAAAAGGCAAATGCAACTAAAGCTGCTGTGACTCCAGTTGCAATAGTGTTAACTCAGGTGTTTTTTTTTTTTTTTTTTTTTTGGAGATGGAGTCTCTGTGTCACCCAAGCTGGAGGGCAGTGGCGCGATCTTGGCTCACTGCAACCTCTGCCTCCTGGGTTCAAGTGATTCTCCTGCCTTAGCCTCCCGGGATTACAAGCATGAGCCACTGCAGCTGGGTGGGCTTAACTCAGGTTTTATGAAGGATATATATAAAAGATGAATATAGAAAAGTGACAATCATATAAGTGTGCCAGAAAAGTTAAAATTCAGAATTAACAGATGTGCAGAGTATATTAAAGATAATTTTAAGTATTTTACAATTCAGAAACTGGAATAAGGAAAATATATGCCTGTTTAATATTAACAGCTCCTATTTTGTTTCCACATTTTCCATCAAGGAGAATAATCTTTATTCTGTAAGAACAACAAATCAGTCAGTAAAGTAGAATTAAAGTCCAATATTCTTTAATTGAAATTAAGAAAGCATCTTAACTACTCAATATGATTTTGTTTCCTAACCTGAATTAATTATATATCTGAGATTGCTATGAACTTGTAGGTAAGAAAGTTGAATTTTGAGGAATTGTTGAGAATAGAAAAATGCCAGAGGATTGGAGGTAAGCAATGAGTAAGGACTTTCACAGCATGTTGATTACATTCAGAAATGACAAAGCTTGATGGACCTTTATGCAAACAGTAAAAATAATTTGAAAGTCTTGTAGCAAGAAGGACTTAACAGATTGGTTTAAATAAGTATAACTAAATATATAATCCTGCATTTGGATTGGGAAAAAAAAACAGTCGAAGAATTGATGAAGGATAAATAGCCTAATAAAAGCATTTATGACAAAGGGAATTTTATTGTTGATAAACTTAATTACGAACCAGCCACATGATTTGCCTGCCAAAATTCAATTATTGTAGTTTTCTGAACAAGGGAGATTGGTTAGGCTTGGACCTGGCATGTATCCAGATTTAGGTGTACTGCGTTTGAGAAAAATTGGCATATGTTCAAATGGTATCAGCTCTTTCTCATGTGGCAAAAGAATTAGATTTAATCTAGCCATAAAGCAGTTCTGGGACCAATGATTACAGGAAGACTTAAGCCCAATAGAAGGAAGAATTTTCTAGTGATTAGAGCTGTCTAGACAATAACAGGATACTTTGCGAGGCAGTAGTATATTTGTATAGCGGTTTTCTTTTTTTTGTTTGTTTTTTGAGACAGAGTCCCGCTGTCGCCCAGGCTGGAGTACAGTGGTGCGATCTTGGCTCAGTGCCACCACCGACTCCCAGGTTCAAGCAGTTCCCTTGTCTCAGCCTCCCTTGTAGCTGATATTACAGGCAACCACCACCATGCCCAGTTAGTTTTTTTTGTATTGTTAGTAGAGACAGGGTTTCGCTGTGTTGGCCAGGCTGGTCTCAAACTCCACCACACCTGGCCTCAGGTGATCCACTCGCCTCAGCCTCCCAAAGTGTTGGGATTACAGGCGTGAGCCACCGCACCTGGCCTGTTTTTTGTTTTGTTTTTTTAAAGAGATAGGATCTCACTGTTACCCAGGTTGGAGTACAGTGGTGTGATCTCAGCTCACTGCAACCTCTGCCTCCCAGGTTGAAGCAATTCTCCTACCTTAGCCTCCCAAGTAGCTGGGATTACAGGCCAGTACCACCACAGCCAGCTAATTTTTTGTATTTTTAGTAGAGATGGGGTTTCACAATGTTGGCCGTCTCGAACTCCTGACCTCAAGTGATCTGCCTGCCGAGGCCTCCCAAAGTGCTGGGATTAAAGGCATGAGCCACCGCTTCCAGTCCTTGTATACTGTTGGAAGGAGGCTAGTTTAATTCTTTGGTAAGGATGTTATAGAGGGAATTAAAGTTCAAATGTCTTGAATATATACATTGGTTTGGCTTTACATTTTTTCATATGGTTACTGGCCATTTTTATATCTTCTTTGGAGAAATATTTATTCAAATCCTTCCTCCCCCCCTTTTTTTTTGAGATGGAGTCTTGCTCTGTTGCCAGGCTAGAGTGCAGTGGCACGATCTTGGCTCACTGCAATCTTTGCCTCCCAAATTCAAGCGATTCCCCTGCCTCAGCCTCCCGAGTAGCTGGGACTATAGGCAAACTCCACCATGCACAGTTAACTTTTGTATTTTTAGTAGAGACGGGGTTTCACCATGTTGGCCAGGATGGTCTTAATCCCCTGACCTCGTGATCTGCCTGCTTCAGCCTCCCAAGGTGCTGGGGTTATAGGTGTGAGCCACAGCGCCCAGCCATACCCATTTTTTTTTTTTTTTTGAGACGGAGTTTCGCTCTTGTTACCCAGGCTGGAGTGCAATGGCGCGATCTCGGCTCACCGCAACCTCCGCCTCCTGGGTTCAGGCAATTCTCCTGCCTCAGCCTCCTGAGTAGCTGGGATTACAGGTACATGCCACCATGCCCAGCTAATTTTTTGTAGTTTTAGTAGAGGCGGGGTTTCACCATGTTGACCAGGATGGTCTCGGTCTCTTGACCTCGTGATCCACCCGCCTCGGCCTCCCAAAGTGCTGGGATTACAGGCTTGAGCCACCGCGCCCGGCCCTGCCATGCCCATTTTTTAATTGGGTTATTTATCTTTTATTATTTGAGTTGTAAGAGTTCTCTATATATTCTAGACAGAAGTCCTTTATCATATGTGCTTAGCAAATATTTTCTCCCATTCTGTGAGTTTGTCACTTTCTTGATGGTAACATTTGCAACACAGAGATTTTTAATTTTGGTGTAGTCCAATTTATATATTTTTTCTTTTGTACTTGTACTTTGGTGTTGCTTAATCCAAGGTCATGAAAATTTACTATGTTTTCTCCTAAAAGTTTTATAGTTTTAGCTTTTCATTTAGGTATAAGATGTATTTTGAGATAATTTGTTTATATGGAGGAGCTGGGGTCCAACTTTATTCCTTTGTGAGTGAACATCTAGTTACCCTAGCATCATATGTTGGAAAAACTGTTCTTTCTCCTATCGAATTGTTCTGGCAATGTTTTTTTTAAGACGGAGTTTCTCCATGTTGGTCAGGCTGGTCTTGAACTCCCCACCTCAGATGATCCACCCACCTCGACCTCACAACGTGCTGGGATTACAGGCATGAGCCACCACCCCTGACCCTTTTTTTTTCTTTTTTTTTTTTGTTTTGTTCTGGCAATTTTTAAAAGGATAGTGTGACTTAAGGCCAGGCTTGTTGGCTTATGCCTGTAATCCCAGCACTTTGGGAGGCTGAGGCGGGTGGATCACAATGTCAAGAGATCGAGACCATCCTGGCTATCACGATGAAACACCGTCTCTACTAAAAGTACAAAAAATTAGCTGGGTGTAGTGGCACGTGCCTGTAGTGCCAGCTACTCTGGAGGCTGGGGCAGGAGAATCGCTTGAACCCAGGAGGCGGAGTTTGCAGTGAGTTGACATCATGCCACTGCACTCTAGCCTGGGCAACAGAGCAAGAGTCCGTCTCAAAAAAAAAAATAGTATAACATTTATTTATTTACTTACTTACTTACAGTGTCTTCCTCTGTTGCCCAGGCTAGAGTGCAATGGTATAATCATAGCACTGCAATCTCCAACTCCCAGGTTCGATCCTCCTGACTCAGCCTTCTAGAGTAGTTAGATGTGCCACACCTGGATAATTTAAAAAATTATGTTGCCCATGCTGGTCTTGAACTCCTGGTCTGTAGTTATTTTCCTGCCTCAGCCTCCCAAAGTGCTGGTATTACAGGTGTGAGGCACCTTGCCCAGCCATAACTTTTATTTTTTATAAAAATACAATAAAAACTATGGAAGATGGGAGAGAAAGTACAGTACCCTCCCATCTTAGGGGGATGTGTTCTAAGAATCCCGGTGGATGTCTGAACTGTAGATGATACCAGACCCAGTTGCTGATTGCATCGATTAAAACACGTTTTAGCTCATGTCTTCCACTCAAATTTATACCGCCTTTTCCATCTTATCTAAGTACTTATCATGTACTGTGGCTATAACTTTTGCAGTTTGAGGTGTGACAGCAAAACTAACACAAATCTTTTTTACTTTCAATTTCACGGTCAGGGCGAGGATCCATTCTTTCCATAGATCTCAGCAACCTCAGCATATTATTTTTTTCTTTCCTGAAATCAAGAACTTTCACCTTTTCACTTTAAAGGAAGTACTTTATGGCTTCTCTTTAGCATATTCAAATTGCCAGCATCACTACTTTTGCAATTTGCAGCCATTATTAAGTAAAATAAGAGCTCTTTGAACACAGACACTGTTGTAATGCTATCTAACAGTTGATCCGATAGCCAGCTTGCCTGCTAAATTACTAACAAAGCTGGTAGCATGCACAGCATAGATACACTGGACAAAGGGATGATTCATGTCCCAGGCAGGACAGAGTGGGATGATGCAAGATTTCATTGTGCTACTCAGAATGGTGTGCAATGTGAAACTTATGAATCGTTTATTTCTAGAATTTTCCATTAAATATTTTGGACTACAGTTGACTATTTGTAACTAAAACTCAAAAAGTAAAACCATGAATAAAGGGAGACTACTGTAAAGCATAATTCTGCCACCCTTACACAACTTCCATATTATTGTTTTTGTTGTTGCCTAATGTTCCATCTGCAGGTTATACATAATTTAATAAATTTGTCCCTTATTTTGAATATTTGAGTTTAATATTAAATATAACACTGAAATCATAATCCTTGTTCATAAGCTATTACCTTTCTATTGCATAATTTTCTTTTATACATATCTGAAAGGATTTCTTCCAAATTTACATTGAAAACCACTAGACTAGTTACATAATTTTGATTTTGAAAATTTTGAAGTAGGGAATGTTAAATACGTTGGCCAGTTTAACGTTACAATAGCAGCTGATACTGACCGCTGGCTGTGGGTCAGTCAATATGCCAAATAGTTGTGTGCATAATCATATTTAGTTCAGATTCTATTAGATAAGGAATTCAAGGCTCAGAAAAGTTTGATAACTTGCCCAAAGTCATATAACTAGTAAATGGCAAAGATGGCATACAGGGCTGTGTGACTCCCATACCTCACTGGCTCCCATACTGGACATAAACAGTTATGCTGGCAAGCTTCCCACAGTAATAGATTAGATTAGATTAAATATTTTTAAAATAATTAAATTTAAATTAAGTATTGAATTCACATGACTTAAATACTAATATTGGCATTAGTACTTATGGGCATTATTGGCCCAAATTTTTTCTTTTTTCTTTTTTTTTTTTTTTTTTTT